GAATATCATTGGAGGAGAGCCAAGAATATCACCGTTGAGTTAGTTTACTATTATTATTGTTTATTATTATTATTGTTATTAATTTTAATTAGATTCGAATTCACAATCTAAAATTTAATTCAAATTGACATTGTGGTGATAGTTGGGGATGTCCGTATGTCCGTTACATGCGTTTAAGGGACTATGCTTGAAAAAGTTGAGTTTCGGAGCGAAACCGAAAACCAAAAAAACCGATATTATTTCAGGAACTAAAACCGAAACCGAACCGAAATTCGTTTGGCAGATTGAATCGAAACCGTAAACCGAAACGAAAAAATTACGGTTCGATACCCTGGTTAATACTTTTCGACTTCTCTGTCTGAATGAAAGTTCGAATGCATGAGTCATCACAGACGCTGCTGGGCCTCTCCTTCCTTCTCATTGTGCAATCGGCACAGTCTACTTTGTAAATTTTAATTTAGACATATCAATCTCATTGCAGTTTCTAATTTGAGTAGATCAGCTATGAGTCCGTGAAAGGGAAAAAAATGAGTTTAATGTTGTTTCAGAGTAATAAATATTTAATAAAGTTTCTTCCTAGTAGCAGATATATATGAAATGAGTTATTAATGATTGTCAGATGGATCTTAATATTTCTCAAACATAGTTGGCATTCATATACAAATCATAAAAACTTTACATCCACACGACAAATGTATAGGTTAACGGTAGGAATGATGAGAAAAAGCAGTTCACTATTTGTTCTGATAGCAATTGAAAATAGTAAAAACGTCCAATCAATCAATCCATCAATCAATCAGTCCATCAATCAATCCATCAATCAATCAGTCCATCAATCAATCCATCAATCAATCCATCAATCAATCCATCCATCAATCAATCCATCCATCCATCCATCAATCAATCAATCCATCAATCAATCCGTCAATCAATCCATCAATCAATCATCGTAATTTTATATTGATCCATTTACTACGTAATGGAAACAAAGTGATATAAACAGTGAACAGTTTATTTTACAATGATAAATGTGATAAATTCTAAAGAGAAAACAAATAAATAAATGTAAAATTTTAAAATCTTTATAAGCCTGGCTCTTACAGCATACATACAACTTACTCTACTGAATACGATTCTTTAAAATAATTTGTCTTTTTTATAAATATCCAAAAGTTTATCTTTCTTGTCAGAAACAATGCTTCTTTCGTTTGAAGACTTGGAAGTTTACAGGTAAAATTAGAAAACAACGACTTTATTGTTTCCAAATTTTCGACTTTCCACGCATATCTTGATTCAGCATCATATTCGTTTGCCCCTAATTCATTATCATCTTCACATTTTCCACCATCACCAACATTATCATCATTGCATTGTATTGCATTTGTATTGTATTGTATTGTACTGCTGGATTTGTATAGCGCCATTTTTTGAGTTGATTTCACGAGCAAGCGCACTCTTCATTTTCTTTGTCATCATCTTTACCATCCTGCTCAGTTACATCTCCATTCATTTTGTTGGCTGACTTTAAAACATGCTGATTGGTCCGTGTCAAATTTGTAAACACCCCTCAATACACTTTCAGCGGCTTTCTTTTTATTTGTTTATAATGTAATTCAGCAGTGGAACTGCTATGTCCTTTTGAATGAGCTACCACATCTTCTTTCAGGTGCATTCAAAGCAACTGAAGTGCCTGCCTATTCTCTGATTTAGTTCGAGGTTACTGATTGCCCAAATCCAACTTTATTAAAAGCTCGGGCCAGGATGAAATTAATTAAACCGGCGGTTAGTTTCTTCCCGTTCTTTGTCATGGAAACAATACGAGGTATTCTTTTTCAGGATCTGCTCTCCGTAGCTGTTAAATATTTTCTCTTCTTCTGCGTTCAAATGAATGATTTCACATCCATATTTTACGGCTGTTTTTGTGCTGGTGAATGAAAAAAGAGTCACACCTCTTCCTTTCTCTTCAGAGGCATTTGCTATTTTTAACATTTCAGGATTTCTAACAACAGCTGGTTGCGGAATAATTTGGATAAGAAGAATATGGTTCCTGGACTTGAGGGAGATACTCTCCAGCGGATACTCTACTGCGACCAGCCAGTTCTTTTTTCAACATTTTCTTCATCTAGCATCAACTTTTTCCAGTCCAGCTACTTCCTCCAATCCTTTTAATCATTTATTACCCTGGCTTTGAAGATAAAAAAGTTCTCATTATTGCGTTATTAATAATAATAATAATAATAATTATTATTATTATTATTATTATTATTATGTTATTAGACCACACAGCTTTCACATGGATGGCTACAAGTTGCACGTGGCGAATTTGCATTGGAACAGCCTGTATGAGTTCGTCATCTTCCCTATTCTCGTCAAGAATAATAATAATAATTATATTAATAATAAAAATAGCGGTAATAATATGTATAACAATTATAGTGGCTCTGCTTCTGATAGTGATGGTAAGGGTCCAGTAAGTAGGCCGTTGTTAGCCAGAAGTGAAGATGTCGGCGGTGATGATGGTGGAGATAGAAATAATGATGAATTAAGTAGCGTCACAGCTAATGGTAATGATGGTGATATTGAGGGTAATAGTGATGACGTTGTTTTTGGGGGCGATAGAGCGGTCAGGAAACGAAATGCAGTTTACCACAATGACGATGATGATGATGACGATGGTGGTGTCGTTGGCGATGATGATGATGCGTTTCTTAATGATTATAACGCCAACGATGATGTATTTAGCTATAAATCGGCTCATAATGACGATAATAATGGAATTGATAAGGATGATGTTGGCGATGTGAGTGAATCGCCCTTCAAAGGCAAGAGTCCCACTTTCAATAACATCGACAAGGTTAAGTACAAAAGGTTCATAAACGAAGGCAATGTTGGTGGTAGTTCTCCCGGCACAATAAACAACGAAAACGATGTTGCAGATACTATAATTGGTGAGCCCATAACAGATTCGTTCTATACGCTGTGCGGGCTTCCGGACAAGCCAAAGATCAGTTCGTATAGTGCGCGCCTGAACGAGAAAACCAGAAATATAGTGATGCACCTGTCGTGGGAGCCTCTGCGGGATGAGCAGTCCCGCTGCAACAGGATCACCTCCTACGTCATCTACTACCGGAATTCTAATAGCCAGAATTTGAAGTTTGAGACTACAAATGTGGACTCGAAGTTTCATGAGGCGGTTGGTTTTTTTTTCGGGCTGGTTGGATGGATAGATGGTTGGATGACTGGTTGGTTGGTTGATTGATTGATTGGATGGATGGTTGGTTGGTTGGTCGGTCGGTCGGTCGGTCGGTCGGTCGGTCGGTCGGTCGGTCGGTCGGTCGGTCGGTCGGTCGGTCGGTCGGTCGGTCGGTCGGTCGGTCGGTCGGTTGGTTGGTTGGTTGGTTGGATGGTTGGTTGGCTGGCTATCGGTTAATTTGTGATTGGTTGGTCGATTTGCTAGTTGATTGGTTATTATTATTATTATTATTGGTTATTATTATTATTTATTTTAATTATTATTAGTTATTATTATTATTATTTAGTTAGTTGGTTGACTGGTTGGTTGATTGGTTATCATCGTCATTAACGTAAAAAATGAAGTAACTTATGTGCGGTCATTGCAACATCATCATCATTGCCTTCATCATCACCATCTTCAACACTGTTATCAACAATC